AATGTCTGCTTACAGGCTCTATGACATTGGGACCTGAGCCGAATGTCTGAGAAACCCTGTATGCACAAAACCCTGCTGAGCAAAAAAACAGTAATTCATCTAGCAGAATCGGGAAACCAGCCAACAGTCTGTGAAGTTTACACTGTTTTCACTGGTCTCTCACCTACTTGTTCACTAAGCAAAGAAAATTGCTAAGTAGCATTTTGTGCTTTATTATAAAATGGAGCCCCGAAGCCTGTAGCTACTGAAACTTGCTGATCGCAGAAAAGCTCTGCCTAGCAGATACAGGGGCCCAGCCAGCACTTTATCAATTTATCATTGTTTTGACTAGTATTCATTTCATTTCCCACAAAGCAACTAAATTTACTGAGCAGTATTTTCTGCTTAACAGCTTCATGAGTTGGGCCTGGGCCAAGTTACCTAAAGGCTTTGATCACAAAAACCTGCTTAGTAGAGAAAAGTTTCATATAAGCACAAACCAGTAAACAGCCCAAATCCCATGAAAAGTACATTTTATGAGCGGTACCCTTCTCATTTTTGTTTGCTTTGCACATAGTTTTGCTATGCAGCATTTGACCCTGACTTTTGACATCTCAGTGTTCATTTTTAACATCATTATTGGAACCCGCTCAGTATTATTTTGGTCTTCTCCCCACTAATTGTGCCAAAACAATTTATAATTAATACTATGTAAACACAAATTTATGTATGCAGTATATTTAATAATCAAGATCTGCGTAATATATGCAGTAGTTTTTACATCAATACATGATAAAATTGAACTTACTGCCATGCATGAAATTCCTACTTTAACTTAATTGTGTCTGTTTTGACTACTTTTCGAAAAACAGATCATGTATATAGTAGTTTTAATAACATCAGTTCAGGTAAAAGTAAACTGTTATCATGCATAATATTTAAACTTAAGCCTGGGTAATATTTTTACTTCTGATCTGTCATGCATTTTTTTTGGTATTGAATATAATTTCTTGTTTGATTTACCTCCAATTTCATACAAAGTGAAGTAGTGGCAACAACAAGCTGTGACAATTACGAGATAATTTAGATTACAATGCTAAAATAACTCTTTTGAAAGAGTATTGGCTGTGATTGGAGAAGAGCCATTGTGTTCTTAATGTTTCCATCAGTTTATTCTGCCTTCAGAAGAGTGTCGGAGTGGCAATCATAGTGTAACGGGACCTTATTGGGTTCTTGTCCTCCGAGTCCGGCCAAACGCAAGAAAAGGGGACAAACACACAGGATTTCCAACTTCTGAAGAAACTCTCATTTATTCAGCACAACAACTCTGTGGTCAACCTGCCACACTGCTACCAGTACCACGACTGCTGATTCCCAGCGTAGAAATACGCACAGTCTGAACAAATGTATACAATTGTAACAACTTGCAATGACCCCGGCATCTTGCCAAACCTTTCCCGCGTCCCCCAACAACAGAAACCCACTTAAGCAACCTATTTCCGGAGCCTATTTCCGGAGCGCACGCCAGCCAGACCCAAAACCAGGTCAGGCTTGCGCCGCCGGAGCAATGACAACAAAAATGTGCATAGACTGTCCGTTACACTACCCCCTCCTTAAATTGGGCCTATTCTCCTGAATAGGGGCACAAATACAACAAATTTTACATGAACTGATATTCACAATTTTCCAAAACCTCTTTTTTTGCCCATATATGTAGAGAACAAAACACTCATTTGTATTTTTAACAGGGTTTACATGACTAACACTGTCACTTTTAGAAACAAGGAAACTTTTTTTTGTTCAAGTGATGTTTACAAGATTCAAAAAGGTTATCAAAAAGAATTTACTTTGCATTGGTTTTACATTACTTTATTTTCTGGAACAAGAATCACAAGAGTTCACTGTCTGTGATTTTATTAATTTATTTTTTGGGATGTCCTCAAGAATGGTGGTTAATGATGATTTAGGCCCCACTCTGGTTCCTAAATCAAACAAAAACACAACAATCGGCGAGGACTATCCGCAACTCGTCGGTCCCCGATGCTGGGCCCTCATGTGCCGGGTCAAGTAGTCCGACCGTCCGTAGGACTTCGGGCATTCCCGGCACTGGTAACTCCGTTCTTCATGCGCTGCTTTTTCATGCCTCCTCCGAGTAAACGAGGAGACATACTGCTGACCGCAGACCCTGCATGTGTACGTCGCCTTGCCTTGAACTGGCTGACTGTCAGTCTCACCCCCGCTGACTTGTCGCAAACATCCCCGTCTTCGGACCGCCCTGCCACGGCGGTTGCGGGGCGAGCTGGTGCCTTGTGTCGTGTGGTGTCCAACGGCGGCAGTGGGACTGCCCACTCCGGCGGCGGGACTACCTGTTCCAACCTGATTGTCTGTCCTTGACTGGCGTACTGGCCCAAGCGCTGGTTCCGCAGTAACTGCCGGTTGAGTGGCCCCTGGCAATGGGGAATCTACCGAACCCAGTGATTCGGTCGCAGGCACCGACAGGGATTCCCGTACCGTTGGTTCGGCATTCCTTTGTAGCGGAACTCTGTGCTTACCGACAACAAAGCACTCTTCGTCCCACATCAGCTGGCATTGATGCTGTCGCAAAAAGTCCAGTCCCAGAATGGCATCTACGCTGATGTCTGCGACCCAAACGCTGTGTAGCACCTCGCTTCCCCCAGTCTTCATCGGCATCTTCGCACGTCCAGCGATGCGCAGCTCACTCCCACCCGCTTGGCGGAACCTGCGATCTGCGTCGACGAGCACGGGTCTTAACTTCGTGTCTGTCCTGTCATACAGCCGAGTGGAAACAAAAGTCTCTGTGGTTCCAGTGTCGATCAAGAAACTAACTGCCGTGTCCATTATTTCCCCTCGGATGTAAATTCCCAACTCTTGAGATGAAGCAGGTCGTTTCCTCAAGCCAGACTTCGGCGGGACTGCCTGCTCCTGCGGCGAGGCTGCCTGCGCCGTCGGCGAGACTTCCTGCGCCGGCGGTGAGGCTGTCCGTGCCGGTGGCGGGACTGCCTGCACCGGCGGCGGGACTGCCTGCACCGGCGGGGAGGCTGCCTGCCTCATGCTCGTCTTCAGTGGGCACCGTGCTCGGAGATGCTCCAGACTCCCGCACTTCCAGCAACCTGCCTTCCATTCCTTGGGTTTTCTCTCCACCAGGCTGCGGCGCTGCAACTCCAAGAGCTCCCGCAGAACCGACAGTATCTGGTCAGTGACCGTGGAACTAAGGGTTTCCTCCTTTTCGGGACAAGGAAAGACTGCACGCGACCGCCCAACTTGTTCTGCCCTGCACCACGCCTCTTCTTCGGCCGCGCTTTCCACTGTTTCATCGAGGGTCGAGGGCTTTCTCCCATCAAAATGCACCAAGTAATCCTCAATGTACGATGACCCATCGTACTCCTGAGCTCTGACACGCGGCGCCGCTCCGGTACGTTCCACGTCAGCGTGCTGGCCAACCGCATGAGCAGCACTGGATCCGCTAGCAGCGGTGTCAGTGTGCACTGCTGTGTGCCTGCCCGTATGACGAGGCTCGCAACCGCTGCGTGCCCCGGTAGGACTCTTCGGGGATCGACGGCAACTAACGTCAGGGCGGTGCTCACCTTCGCTGTCCGACTCGCTGCACGCCGCCCGCCACTGTGCCTGAAGATCACCAACTACACTGCACGACTTTCTCCGCCTACCGGTATCGTCCCTAGTCGATAGGCTCGGCGTCACTGGCACAACATGCCAAGGCTGATGTCCGGTCGTGGACCCGGTCGTATTTCTGCGTAAACTGTCCAGCAGGGATCGCTGCAGCCGATCGATTTCCGTGGAAATGTCGCCGATGGCTTCAGTGATACTCCGTGCCGACTCCGTGTAGCTTGCCATTTCTCTTCCCCGAAATCCTGTAGAAAATCCCACCGCTGCCACCAATTGTAACGGGACCTTATTGGGTTCTTGTCCTCCGAGTCCGGCCAAACGCAAGAAAAGGGGACAAACACACAGGATTTCCAACTTCTGAAGAAACTCTCATTTATTCAGCACAACAACTCTGTGGTCAACCTGCCACACTGCTACCAGTACCACGACTGCTGATTCCCAGCATAGAAATACGCACAGTCTGAACAAATGTATACAATTGTAACAACTTGCAATGACCCCGGCATCTTGCCAAACCTCTCCGCGTCCCCCAACAACAGAAACCCACTTAAGCAACCTATTTCCGGAGCCTATTTCCGGAGCGCACGCCAGCCAGACCAAAAACCAGGTCAGGCTTGCGCCGCCGGAGCCCCTCCGCCGGAGCACCAGCGCTAGAAAGCAATGACAACAAAAATGTGCATAGACTGTCCGTTACAATAGTATACTAATTAAAATAATGAGAGCACAACTGGTCTTATTGGAGCCAACACTCCTCTGAATGATAGATTTATATTACTGCACCTGCAAGTAGTTTGTTCTTTATTATCCACAGCATGTAAAGCCTCCAACATCACTTGAAGTAGTTATGTTTTTCATTCTGATTTTTTTTCTCTCCCAGTTCAGCGATGACGGAGCCAAGAGCTTAAACTCGACCAACACTCACCACATCCCCTACTGGCTAAACTACAGTTTCTACCTCTCTCCAAGCCAGCGACATCGCAACTTCTCATCAGCCCAGTCCCACTTCATACCAAAGTTCAGACTCCCAACAAAAAGGGTAAATATGAAGTCTATAGTAGCATGCAGAATAAAAAATGTTTTATTTTTTAATAATTTTAATAATTAATAGTTGGTTTTCATAAATGAAGGTTTGGGTACTACAAACCCCATTTCTGGCTCTTTTTACGTTTGTTGTGTTCTTGTTTTTATACACTTGTAGCAGTTCCCCACTTATTATATTTTCCAAGCGTTTATGAAGGACATTTCTAAAAAGACCAATTCACTTTACATTATCAAAAAGCAAGAAGGAACCAGGAAATACATAAGCACATGCACAAAAAAATTACAAACAATTAAGTGAACAAGCAGTCGTCCTTTCTTTTTCTTTAAAAAAGAAACCTTTCGAAAGTTTCTTAACACACTGCACATTTGGAGCAGCACCAACGTTTACAGGTAAATTTATCCACAATCCCCCCCCCAAAAAAAAATCATCGAAAAATATTTGTAATATGTATGCTTAAATGTGCAGGGGTACTCAAAATTATGGAGTAACATTTTTTGTATAAAGTTGGTTGGAACCTGTATTTCAACAACATTCGGCAATTCCGTGTTAACTTGGTAAAAGGTATTTTAACTGTTTGTTTAATGATAATGTCAAAATCTCATGCTTATGAAATAGTTTACTGGTACATGTAGATTCATATTGTACACGATTAGGTAGGAAGCGCTTTCTACCCAGTTGATATTTCTTTGGAAGATTTTACTCATTCAATCTTATTTTCATCTCAGAGGTTTTGAATGGGGAGAGATCATTCTTCCATTTCTCCCATGTGATTCCCTCTTTTCTTTGGACATCACCAAGATATTTCCCATTTAAATTGGAGTATGCACAACTGTTATACCACCAGGCACCTTGGCGAAATTCAGCACACTGTATGGTAGAGTGTGGGTCATTGTCTCTGTCCTTGGTTGTGAATTCCTGCTTGTTGTGGTACATCAGAGAGTCACCTGCAAAGAAAGAGTTTTCTAATCCAAACATATTCCACATGTAATAATCTCCCTCACATTGGCATTGTAGTCTTTAAAAGATGCATTTTCTCGTAAATAACTGTGGTTTTTATTTTGAAAATATCATCTTTGCTCACAATTAGTCAATCAGAAGTCATTAAAACAAACTGTGTGACTCAAACTGGACCCAAGTGACCCAAGACTCAACAGACATGACTCAACTGTTGACTGTCTCTTACCAGCAGTTCCAGAGTAGCCTCCTACTGATAGCCTGTAGTTATCACTAGCACTGGCAATGCTGAAGGAGTCATAGACAGCATACGCAGTGTTGTTTTCAAAATCTGAGAGATCAACACGAAGTTGGTAGTTGCCTTGACTGGTAAGGTAATGCAGGTTGTTGTTGCCAAGCCAAAACTCCCTGTCGGGTTCCCCAAAGCCTTCCCGGTAGCTGGCAAAGTCACGATAAAAGTCCACTGACCCATCCTTCCTACGCTGAAACACCTATTAACAGATTTCCAGTTTGTGTTTTACAGTCAATGTGCATTCAGGATAGTTCATGTAATCTTTTTTATTTTTTAAATCTAATTTTAGGTAACTTGAAGTGTTTTGTCAGATCAGCAGTCATCAAGTTTCAAACAGCTCCAGCCAATGTCAGCCATTTGAGCAATACCATGTGACCACTTTTGATTGCCTTTACTGTCTTGGATAATTATGTGTTAGGTCTTATTTACCGTCCATCCACCGTTGTCTGTGTCCATGTCGCAATAAACCTGTATCGGAGCAATGGAGCCAACAGGTTTGATTATGTACACACCACTGATCTCTCCTGATTCCAGATAGCCTAAACAGTCCTTGGGAAAGTACTCTGTAAAACAAAGTAGAATAAAATATTGCAGGGAAGGCCATCATCCACATTTTAAGTTTTATTTATACATGTATAAGGCATGAGAAGGAGGCTGGTATTGTAATGCAGACAATTTCTCTTTCTTCGGTCAAACAGTCAAATAGAAATAATACTTGTCATGACTCCTAAACTATACGATTAATAGAAAACTGGCCAAGTTATAGTAATATTTTACCAATGTTCTTATGATTTATGTATTTTCTCCCACATTCTCCAGCCAAATTTAGCCTAACTTTTTGGTCCAATGGTTTACACAGATTTTGGTCAGTGGTCACCCAGCGGTCAGCAGTTGTATTTGAGTTACTTTTTTACAACCATTAAATGCAATTGTCATATTTTGCAGGACAAATTATTATGCAGTGAAATATTTGTAAGTGGTCTTATTTGTACAAGTACAAAAAGAACATGATTGCTGTTTTTGTTAAGGCTACTTGCTATGCTCGAGTTGCAGCGTCTCCAACTGTAATCTGATATCTCTTAATGCAGAGGAAACAATGTCTTGATGATTGGACAGTGCTGCTTGCATGTCTTCCATTTGGCGTTTTGTGTCTTGTAGCTCTGAGAGAATCCTGTCCTGATTACTGCTCACTACAGTGTCTGTACAACCAGGAGGGTTGATGTTGATTTCCGGGCTGCACACACATCTTTCTGCATCACTGTAGTTACGATCACTTTTGTGACCTGCATCTGACTCTTGGGTAGCATCACTGTTCACCATAGGCAATGGTTTTACAATTAAAAGCAGCAAAGCAATGTGGAGGAAAAGGCTTGTGATAATGATGTTGAGCATTCCCATTTTGGACACACTGTTATGGAGATATACAAGACTTATGAGCACAAAAAAGCTTGATAACTGTCTTATGTTGAAAGGAAATACAGTCAAACGGGAAGCAGGATATTGGATAGGGCATGACTGCTGTCCAATTAAAGTGGCAGGTTCATGCTGATTTGATCTCGACCAACTGTTTTTAATGTTCCTTACTTTGTGCCGTAGTTTAAGCCAGCTGTTAAATATGGCTTTGTTATAATGCTATTTTTGATAAACTTCAAGCTTTACGTGTCAGTGTTTGTTAATTCTTTAAGTCAACCTCTTCATCAAATCTGTAAATCAACAAATTGGTTTAGAAATGCAAACCTTTTCATCTCACAATGAAAAAAATGCCTTTGATCTTGTGAATCCCATCTCTTAAACTTAAAAATAAAACCTGTCATCTTACTAATTGCAAGCACATAGAACATCAAGCAAGTAGTCTCCCTTTTAAGGGTAAACACCGGACAACACAGTTAAGATGACAACCCTAACAGGAAGTTCCATTGGCAAGTGCAAGCTATCCATGGGGCACTGTTTAATGATCAGTAAAGAAAACTGTCAACACTATTGACACACACACACATTTTGAGGGGGGACATTGTTTGGTCCCCCCACACTTTTTCTTCCCCGAATAAAAATATTGTAGCCTACAATAATTATTCTATTGCTCAGAATACATGTAGCTGATTCAATTACTCAAAACTCAAAACTTTCACAGATGATCTTTCGCTCAAATTGGTTTTAGTGATCAGAAATTGCCTCAGATCACACCACAGAAATTGCTATTCTTTAACTGCATGTCTCACCAACTATATCCCCCATTTACATTTAACTCCCCACATTTTCATCCCCAACACTACGCCCTACCCGATCTATGATCGGGTCAACCAGCTTGTGTTTTATATTGACAGTATTAGGGATATTATTTGTCTGTTTCTCTCTATGTATTTAATCAATTCACATCAAGCATCACACAAAAAAAAATCAATTTTTGTACAAAAAGGAAGGTGTGGAGAAGGCCAGAAAAGGGGGAAAACTTTTTTTCACAAAAAGTTGAATCTGCCAATAAAATCATGGAATGGTTTTGTGAAGCATTCTTCCGCATATACAATTATGAATTGAGAACCATGAACTACAGTTGTTTCCTAAATAAAGTGGTTATTCGCTTCTTAAAATAAAGAAATACATGCACTCTGAGTCAGAATTTTTTGCATGTTGTGTGTTATAGACTGACTTAAGTGCTAACCTGTGTTTAGGCCAAAAAATAAGTCGGTCTCTGGTCAACGCGCGCGTCGATTTTAATCATGCGCGTCAATCTTTTTTTTCCCAAAATGTTCCGCGGTAGCTCCAACAGCGCCCTCTATTGCCGCACCTGCTCAATTTTATTTTTTTTACCAAAGAGCACCATGGAATGGGAAATTGCGCCAAGGCAAATGATCGAGAGCACCAAGGCAAATTATGGAGGACACCAATGTACATGAGGACACCAAAGAAGCAAAATAGTACCCCACCTTGTCTGTACAATCCAAGCTTGAAGAAAAAAAAAAAGGAAAAAAAAAAAAAAAGCCGCGTCCCCGCGTCAGTTCCGGAACTTTGGTCAGACCAGAGACCGAATATTTTTTTTTTTTGGCCTGGAAATATGTATGTTTTGAAACCCTCTGGTGTTAACAATTTTTTGTCATCTGTGCGACTGGGAATTATTTTTATTTTATGCCTGCGCAAAAACATCAATGTAAGCATTGAAGAATTGGAACTGAAAATATATAAAAGCTTTGTAATAATTTTTTCTGTTTTAAATATGTATTTTATTCCATGGTGGAAAGATTAATTATCAAGGTCACCTGTGGCCATCACTTGGTGAAGATCTGTGTGCAACTTAGGCCAAGTTCGCGCAAGGACTATAGTTGAACAATGGTTAACTAACGTTTGCCCGAACTCTGTCTAGTCAACGGTGGTTGACTACGCTAGTCGACTATTTGGAACCAGCCTACTGGGGTTGGTTCCCTCGCCGCGCTGGTAACCAATAGCCGCGCACATTCATCATAACGCTAGCAGAGAGCCAGGATCCAGAAATGTTGCGATGACATTTTGACCAGCGTTTGACTAGAGACGTTCGCACGTTGCTATCAGTGCGCAGGCGTAAGGTACGTCACAAATCAACCACTAGTCGACTAATAATCCTTGCCCGAACTTGGCCTTAATTGGGAAGTACTTAAACTATTTCTGGGGTCTGTCTCATGCACAAAGTAATGGTTTTCTAGTGCATGAGAGTTTGTGGGGACAGACTCCGCGTGGGAAAGCTCTCGGGTACCAATGAATGGGTGTAGCAGATGGGAAGTAGTTTGCTGTGTAGAAATGAATACGAGCTATCTCTCTGTACAAAATTATATTTGAGGACTTAGCCTGTGGGAAAGAATTTGCCTGCAGTTAATGCTATGGGTTTCTAATGATCTACTCTGTATAGGCAAATGCTTACTCTTACTGTGTACAGTGGAGATTCAGGTTGCTGTTGGGAGGTTTTGCACTGCTGTGGGCTGTGTACTTAGCTTATGCTGTTCATCTGAATACAATACTCTAAAGGCTTGTAGTGGGATCGCAACAATACAATAGTTTACTTTCAGAGTGTACATCCATCAAAATGTCCCCGCCCCCCTCTAAAACTGATAAATCGAGAATTTATTGAGAAATACAAGATTTTTTGGGGAAAAATATGTTTTGCCCCCCTCTAGAAAAAATCCTGGCGACGCCCATGGAGCTTGGGGACCCCTCCCCGGATCCGCGCCCGCACCTCCTCGATCGTTTTGCGCAACACATGATCGAGAAGTGTGCAATGACACTTGGCCTCCGAAAATCAAAAGTTGGTGGGGGGGGGGGGGGGGGGTGTCATACTATACTTTCAATGGGGGCGCTGTTCAAATCCGACGATTTTTTACACTAGGCCTATATCACAGAATATGCATATATTGCAGGGCAGTGGCATAGAGGAGGGGGGGGGGTGTTGCAGAGTGGCAAATTGCAACAGCGGCCCTAGTGTAATGCGGTGCATGTACTGGTGTAATGTTGTCTACATTATAACGTTTTTTTTGGAAATTAAGGATGAGTACTTATTATTTCATATTATTTTTCACGAAAATAATGTTTGATAACAGGCTGACGAAGGACTGTTGGGAACAGCGAACGGAATATGCATGTAGGCCTCATTATACAGTGTTAGCAAACAAATCCGTAAATCCGTTTTCTTTTTAAAAACGTCCTTACGATTTTAAAATAGTAGTAGGGGAGTTGAGAATCTGTGTCGGTCCACATTCAAAGAGTAGAAGTCAGGCGCGGAACCCATGAGAGAGGTTTGAACCCCCCCCCGCGCCAATCCTTCACCCACGTTCTGACGCACACAAAAAATGTACATCCATCACATTTATAATAATGATAAGGTCCGCCTGTCCGCACCAATCGGATATAAACATCTCTAACGGGCCTGACCCCTCCCCCCGCCAAAATTCCAGGATCCGCCCCTGCACGCCTGATGTCTTTTTCAAAAAAGGCCTGCATAATAATAGTTTCCATTGTTGCGTAACGAGAAGTACGTTTGGCACACGTAGGCCTACGACTAACGAGGCTGCCGAATACAATTTTCCAAAGAAATGAAAACAGTGGGCTCATTATTGCCCGAAATGTCAACTTCTTTTCGTCCATGGAGCCCAAACAGATGGACCCACCAATGTGCCACGTTTCTTCGCCTACTACTTTTGAGAAGAACTCTAAGAAAGCCGAATGGCCTAGTGGTTAGATTCGCCGTCCAGGCATCGCGCGGGGCACGGGTTCGAATCCCCTCGGTGTCTTTTTGGTTTTAATCGCACTCGTTCTGTAATTATATAAGATGTTTAATTTCCCGTCGTAGAATACCAACAGTACCTTAGCTTAACCGGTAAGCACTGCTGCTGGTACTGTCCGCGAGTTCCAGGTTGGCGCCTTCGTACAGGTTCAGGGCATTTGGTCCACTCGGAGGATCAGGGCTTAGGGGCCGCCCTGTTCCTCCCTTAGCTCTTTGCTTTTACATGGTGCCTGGCCCTCCGGGGTTACATGGATGGATAGGGAAGGAAGTGTGTATTGGTCGGGGACGCCGAGACCCCAGAAGAGAACTAAGGGATCGGCTGGGGCATTGTTATGGCTCAGACCGATCCCTGAAAGCTTGACTAGCACATAACTTTTTGATTTTGTTATCCTCTATCTTTGATACGTTGGTTTAGTTTGATATTTACATCTGCTCGGTAGATGTACGGTAGTTTTGAAAACGAAACAGAGGTCTATGTCATAAATCAATTCATAATTGACTATAAATAAAACGGAGTTTCGTTGGATCAATATGACTACCATTATTAATGGCGCAATTTCCAATAGACGTAAAAACGCCATATTATACCGGGGAAAAATAAAGATGCACATTGTAATATAAACATTATGTACAACATTATATAAACATTATGTACAACTCCTCCCCTGCTCTGACACCAAAAAGTAAAGCTATTCTACAGCGGTTATTAACACTAGGCCTATATCACAGAATATGCATATACCCCTAACAAAGCTGCCGATGTCCGTATTTTGGTGCAAAGCGGACATTATTACCAGTAAACAGTTTAAGCGTGTCAGAAAGGGGGGGGGGGTTCGCATTTTTTTCATGGAATTCTATGAATTGTTTTTTTTTGGACAGAACTGGGCATGGGCATCGCGAGGGGGAAAGGAGGGGGCGCTTGCCTCCCCCCCTCCCCCCGGAAAAGGAAAGAAAAAAAAGGGGGGGGGGGAAAGAAGAAAAATAGGGGGAAAAAAGAGAGGAAAAGAGGCGCGAAGTCATAGTGGTGTAAATTTAACGAGTTGGGGGGATCAAAAATGTACCTGCCACCCTCTTT